AGTGAGCAAAGTTCGTGGAGGAATCTCAAAAAGGTGGATTCGAAACTGTAGTGTATCTCATTCCTAAATGTCCATTCCTTCTACTTTATGACTTGAAGTACAGTTGAAAACCTCTGAAGCAAAGTTTGTCGAAGAATCTCAAAGATATGATTTCAAAACTCTAATGTATGTGATTCCTGAATGTCCATCCCTTCGACTACCGGTATATGACTTGAAGTACAGTAGAAAACCTCTGAAGCAAAGTTTGTCGAAGAATCTCAAAGAGATAATTTCAAAACTGCAAAGTATCTTATTCCTAAACATTCATTCCTTGTCTCAAAGTACAGTTGAAAACCTCAAAAGCAAGTTGGTCGAAGAATCTCAAAGAGATGACTTTAAAACTGTGATGGATCTAATTCCTAAAGTCAATTCCTTCTACTATATGATTCTAAGTGCGGTTGAAAAACCTCTGAAGATGTTGACTTGCAAAATCGAAATGAATCAAAGTTACAGCTTTTTCACTCCATTGTTTGAATACAAAGATGTTCAATACCCAAAGTTTTGATGACTTCAATCAACTGTTAATGTTAGTTTTGAGTAGTTTTCACCCTCTTGAAAATGATTGTCTCATATCCACAATTACAAAACCAATTGTGGGATCTGAAAAGAGGAAATATGTGAAGGATAATTACATGCTTTTTTCTTTTAAGATCAGAATTTTAAATAAAACTTGTTTTTACCAGGCTGTGAAGTATGTTTCACTTTCATAACACCCGGAATTTATTAATTGATCAAAGTAGATAAAAAGGAGCTGCTTTTCCTGTTTGTTTGTTTTTGTTTTCTTCTTCATCTTCATCTATCTTTCCTTTTTTTCTTCCCTCTTTTTAAAATTAAAGGATGCTTTGGTAAGCATGATAAAGAGAGCAATAAAAAAAATAACTTCATTTAATTTCACAAAAGAAAAGTAGGCTATTAAAACTGCTGTAGTTGATGGAATAATATGTCATTAAATAGAAGGAGGGGCGATGACTCAGTAGGCCTGTCTTCACTTTCTCGAGATTGCCAAATATCCAGCTATTTGAACTATCCCGATCGCAAACTATCCAGCTAATTTGCGTCTTCATCAGACCGAAGTAGCAATTAGAAGGATATTTGGTCTGGATTGTGATCCCAAGATATCTTGGGATAGTTTTCAAAATATCCCACTATTTGGCAAAATATCCAGCTATTTGTCCTGTGCGTCTTCACTAGACCGAAGATTCGCAATACGCGCTAACGCTGAGCAAAATATCTCAAGGTCGAGTTTCAAGTTTCGAGGTTGAATCTCGAGATAGTGAAGACGCGATTTGTTACTTCGGGATTATTTCCCAAATCAGAAATAGCAGGCTATTTGGCAATCTCGAGATGATGAAGACACGCCTTCTGGGAAAGCTGTGGTTTACCAAAAGGTCGCGAGTCCCTCAGAGAGGACTTAAAGCCACTGGTCTCTTGGTTGCTTAGTTATAAGCATACTAGGTACTCATCTTTTCTTAGCAGTCAGGTAAAGCAAACAAACCATTAGACAATCTGTCGAGAAAGACTTGCCAATTTAGCCTGCACAAAATTCCTGTTATTAACACTTTGGTAGCTTTATTTTTGCCTCTCTGAGCGATCACTCGTTTGCAACATGTGCAAATTTGCATAAACAATAAATACACCAATGGACGGAAGGATTGCTTTGTGCAACATAATGGTCTTGTATGATTGCCTATTTTTGCTCTTAATTTAATGATTATAGAATTAATCTTGCAATGGAAAGATGGAAACAGTTAAATAATCTTGAAGCCTTTGCAGGGAATAATTTGCCACAATTTTTTTGATTAGCAATTTTAGCTGATGGATAAATATTTCAAATGAAATTCTGTACATTTCTATGGAAGAAAACTGCTACACAAAAGATATTTTGTATAGCAGTCATGCAAAAATGCATAGCAAATTGCGATGCGATACCAGGAAAATTATTCCCTGCTTTGGTTAACCCAAAGAGATATTACTTTGGATAACCTATCCCATGAGAAAATAAATGTTGTCACAGGGAGATTGCACATGTACACTGTATGTGTGATATATAAAGAGTTGAACTAGCTTCCAAACCATCTAGAAGGCCTGCACACAATTTCTGTCATTTATGAGTACCATGAAACATCCATGTCACTTGATATCAGATTGCTTTCAATCAGTTATATCACGGGTGGCCAACCTTTTAAAGCTCGCGGGCCACATCTAACGATTGTCATAACTTGGCGGGCCGTAGGCCAGGCGGGGGGGGGGGGGGTAATCACATATTGAGACATACGGGGTGTGCCGCTCTAATGGGTAACCTTTTTTACAAAAAGCATCCCTAAACTTGGGTCCCATTTTTAACAGAAATATCCTAAACATGGGTCCGTGTTTTCGAAAAAATTATTTTAAAAAAATTCAGGGTTTTAGCCATGCAAACACCCAAAATTTTTATAAAATGGGCTTTACTTTCAACAAAAATCTGCCAAAACAAGGCAACCCTTAAAAATGGGTAGAGGTAACGAGGCTTCAGCGGCACACCCCGTCAAAACCAAATCTGAAATCCCCCCCCCCCCCCACACACACACACACTCATGTACACACCTGCAATTTTGCAAACAACAAAATCAGTCGAACAAAATCAGGCTTACTTTTTTAGTGTGATTTCTGGCTAACAAAATATGAGGCAAAGTTGTACCTTTCTCTTCTATGAAGAAATACTTCAGAGATCAATCCGATTTAAAGTTTCTGTCTTCATCAGAAACTTTCCTTTTCTTCGCACGTCTCGAAATCGATGCCCTGTTGGTTGTTATTTCAAACAAAATCATTGACACAGCAGAAAGAATATAAGGGGACTATCCACGATTAAGATTAATGAAAAAAATTTACGGCGGGAGAAAAGGGTTGTAAGTTTTAAGACAAGTATGGCATTTCAAACATATTTCTTGATTCACGATCGATTGGGCAAAAAGAATTTCCATTTTCGGTTTAACTTAATAAAATTTGGAGTGGATTTTAAAAGATTATTATTATTGTTATTATTTGTATATTTACAAAGGTTACTGCATGTGGAAATAACAAACTGAAATTAACACGGCGAGTGATGTTAATGTCGTTAATGTAATGTAATGAGAGGGAATTTGAGGAGTTTTGTATAAGCCACGTAACGAATCAATATGTTGTGAATGATGAAAACAAATTATGGAAATAGAGATAGATAGCTGTGTGCAAATGTTTTACTCTATTTCATCGCTGTTATGTGGGCCGCATTTCATTCATTAAGTATTTTTATAATTACTTTTTCAATGCTCCGCGGGCCACACAAGAAGAGCTCGCGGGCCGCATGTGGCCCGCGGGCCGCAGGTTGGCCACCCGTGAGTTATATGATTGTTTTCATGGGTTATAGAAAGTAGTAATTGTACCCTAAATCATTTCTCCATTACAGAGGTTCAGAGTGCCACGAGCGTCAGTACTGAGCGGATACTTGCACTTAGTTTTATAAATAGCCACTTTCATTATTTTATGATATAATTATTATCATTAAAATATGTAGCATTACAAGTATAATTATTATTATCATTAGTAGTATTATTATTAAATAAAAACTAGGAATATTTTATCCCCAGAATATTTTGTATGTAGATTTACATACTAACTGTATTGTTCTTTCATGGATATATTTAACTGAAATGTGTACCAATGGCATGCCATTGGCTAAAGGAGAACTAATCCCCAAAGAATATTTCAATTTTTTTTCTTTTTTGATTCATATTCATTATATTTTATTCATTTTCATAAAAATCACATTACAAAACACAACCATTTGCAAATAGAACTGTAAGTAACATAAAAATCTTTCACTAGAATATATACATGTACATAAGTACATTGAAATATTCAAAACAATGACTTTAGTTCTTCTGAGAGATTTATTGCATTCTTGCCCATCAATGATTCCCCACCAAAGTGTATGAGAAAGGCATAAAGCATTAAAAAATGTATTTTTGAATAAATGAGTTACAATTATTACTTTATCATATATATTTTCACCAAATTTAATTTTTACCTTCTCGACTATGATTTTCCCTCATCGAAAAAGTAGAGATTTTTTTATTGAATTAAAAAGTCTTTCCGATTGAAGCTTGGTGCATGATACATGTACACCTCCGCTTGGTACGTCACATTTTCAAGAAAATGGCTGCGCCCATGTCATGCTAATGGGCATTACATCATGCCAAGAAATCTTCATGTAAGATTTATTGTACATCAGAAGGCAGGAATTCATCACGTTTTTTCAGAATACTTTCACTTATTTTGGGGGGTTTGGGGTTAGTTCTCCGTTAAAGGCATCGTTTAACAATGTTAAATCTGAGATGCCCAGCCCTACATGTTATCAGGGTCTGTGATATGGTGTAATGTAGAAGCCCTAAGAAAGTTGTGCTTCAAAATAATCAAGAAGTGCCTTAAAACAGTGAAAATCTTGAGGTTTTTTTTTACCATACTTGTTTTCCCCCAATAAACTGTATTGTTATGAAAACACAAAATTTGATTTTGATTTGCAATCATAAATATCTTGATAATCAGACAAGCGATCGGCTTGTAAAAGTCATGGGGTTCCTGACTGACCAAAAGGTTTATAATTATCATTGCAGCATGAGCTAAATCCAGGATTTTGTTTCAGAATCTGAGACAAAGTTACCGTTAATGACTGCTTAGGTAGCAGCTAAATTTAGACATCCTTAGCTCCATCCTAAGCACCAAGGAAAAAAAAGATGCAATTAAATATCGTTATCACGAAGAAACATGTACTTCATATTTCACGAAAATTAAGATATTGTGATTTTCAGAAAACCCCCAATTTAAATACATATCAATTACATAACACTTCTGGAAGTTAAGTCTACTCATCATACCATTGCACCTTCACAGAAAATAATGAGAATTATTCATTTTCTTTTTATAATTTTTTCTCTTCACTTTAGGAGCCTGTGAAGGAGAGTGCGCCGGCTAATTTCAAGGAGAAAGAACTTCCCAACGTCACCAAGTCATGGAAGAACTACATGAGCAAACTACTGATACAAGACTTTCAGGCGGCCACTCTGCAAGTCATGGATTCACCATATGATGAGGAGTAAGTTGTTTTGATGGTGGTGGTGGTGGTGGTGCTGGTGCTGGTGATGATGATGGTGGTGGTGGTGGTGGTTGTGGTGGTAGTCGTGGTCGTGGTTGTGGCGGTGGTGGTGGTGATAGTGGTGGTGACGGTGGTGGTGGTGGTTGTGGTGGTGGTCGTGGTTGTGGCGGCGGTGGTGGTCATGGTGATCGTGGTCGTGGTCGTGACGGTGGTGGTGGTGGTGATGATGGTGATGGTAATGGTGATGGTGGTGGTGATGGTGGTGGTGGTGGTGGTAGAGGGTTGGAAACTGTTGTTTGATGGTGGCAGTAACTGTGATGATGGTAACTGGTGGTGGTAGTGATTTTAACCCTTTTGCAACAATCATTCCTCATTTTGTGGTTTCATAACTTCTTATTCAGAGCCCTATAAAATATGCAAGATACATGAGTAGAAAGGGCAAAATTTCTGCACACCCTGTATCCGTTTTTGTTCCATTTTGTTGCATTTGATGCTAGGAATTTGAAGAACGATAACAAGCTCTAAAATTCTTAAATTGGCAACACGTAGTGAGATTTAAAATCAATGTTTTCTATCAAAATTGGCAATTTTTTCAACTTTACAACATTCTCATTCATATATATTGTTTTCAGAGACATTACAATTTATTTTAACAATGTATCAATAGGGAATAGAAAATTGGTCAATTTTAGTCAAGAAACATTATTTTGAAGCTAAAGTAAAAATTAATCTTGAGAGGGAGCTATACAACTTAAAGAGTTTATTATTCCCATTTTCGCTCTTTAGGCTCAATTTCAACCGCGATAGCGATCATTGAATATTGTAAAATCGCATATGCTTCCAATATGTTCATTTGAACCAATTCACGACCCCATACCAAAACTTTGTATTACCGGACTTCACAGGCAGCAGGGCATTTACCACCCGAAGTTTTTGCATTACAAACAGAGAGTTTGGTACAGAGACCCTTCTCCTAATTCCCCATTAGCACATCGTACATCAAATGTGCTAGTGCCCTTTAGTAAGGCATTAATCCTCATTACCAGGTCCCTCGGAGATGATCTAAAGCCGTTGGCCGTCTGGTTGCTTACTTACAAAAAACATTAATGCTTTCTTAGCAGCCAGGTAAAATAACCACCTCCACATACTACATGTACATACAGACTGTCATTCTTAACTATTTACAAACTATCCTTTCTTTTCCTTCTTTGTGATAGAACTGCAGAACAGTTACCGGTAGAGGTTTATGAATTCCCTAACGGGTACAATAGAGAGTTTGGTGATGAGAGGTATCGTATTCCAGAGAAGCTCTTTGACACATCACTGGTTAAGGTAAGCTCATACCCTCCTTGATTTGATTTGAGTTGATTTATTTATATTTTATTTTCTTTTCCTTTTGTTTACAAACATGTAACAAACAAAACATTGCAAATCCCAGTTATATTTGTCCACCTCACTTGTCAATCATCTTTATAAAAATGGTTGAACCATATATTTTTATTTACCTATTATGTAAACAAGCCTTGATTTTCATTTTACATATTTTCTTCTTCTTCTTCTCCTTCTTCTCCTCCTCCTTCTCCTTTTCTTCTTTTTGCTCTTCTCCTGCCTTTTTCTTCTACTCTTTCTCCTTCTCCTTCACTTTTTCCTTCTCCTCCTTTTCTTCTTTTTGCTCTTCTCCTTCTCTTTTCTTCTACTCTTTCTCCTTCTTTTTCTTTTCTACTCCCCTTTGTTATGGTTCTTGTTCTTCTTGCTCTTGTTGTCCTTCTTCTCTATCTTCTCTAACTCTTCTTTCTCATTCTCCTCCTCTTTCTTCTTTCTTCTTCTTCTTTCTTCTTCTTTCTTTCTTCTTTTTCTTCTTCTTTCTTTCTTCTTTCTTTCTTCTTTCTTCTTTCTTCTTTCTTTCTCATTCACCTCTTCTCCTTCCTTCTATCTTTCTTGTTTATTTCTGTACAGGGTGCTGATGGCAGTAGTATGCTGAGTATGAGTCATGTCGTGACGACCAGTGTGGGACTATGCGATGTAGATATTCGAGGAGTAAGTAACCATTTAGAATACATGTATTATAGTTTGCTAAATATCCCTTTAAAGGCCATCTGTACTAGCTTGGCTAGGAGGGATTAGACCACCCAGTGGGTCACTGACAGGTGGCCATCTCATCAACACAGCTCTCAATTAATAGAAGAAAAAGAGGATCATGGGGGACCAATGCTCACCGATTAGGCATTGTTTTCTATATAGAGGGAGCAAGTAGCTACAAGTAGTACAGTGGGGCTTTAAGGACTGGAAATTTGAGGGCTTAATTAATCACATGTTGTTTTTTCAAATTGGCAACAATATTTGTTTCTTTTCTAAAATACTGAATTGTTCTAATAAATATGTCTCTGAAAGCAATATACATGTATATAGATATGATCTCTGTTAAAATTGAAGAGAATAGCAAGTTTCGATGAAAAACAATGATTTTGGACCTGTAAAGATGTTGCGAATTTAAGGATCTTATAGCTGATGTTCCTTTTTAAAATTCCTGGCATTAAATGCAATATGCTCATGCAACCAAAATGGACACAGTGTGTGCAGAAATGTGTGCTTTTTCTACCGATGCGTCTGCTATATATATTAGGACTTTGAATAAAAATTATCGAGCCGAACAACAAAATATTGAATGATTGTCTTGAAAGAGGTATGGTACTGTACTTGAAATGTTCAGCCTGTTAGATAAGTATGAGATAATTGTAACAACTTGTGCAGGACTGTGCATAGGCTGTGTGGATACAAGAGGAGTAAGTAATCACTCTCGCAGAGTATTCGACTTTGTGTTAGTCCAAACATTTTTCTTAATTTGTTCAATATTTGCTCATGTTGCTTTCATTTGCCTATAGTTCGATTCTCCACAAATATTTCCCCTTATAAAACATTCACATTGCATTCAGAAAATACTCTTCTCGCTATGTACAAATCATTCAAAATGAATGATATCACAGATCTGTATGAGCAGATAGAGTGAGAAAGAGGGGAGGGACAGAGGGAGGGAGAGACAGAGGGGGAGGATGGAGGAGAGAGGAAGAGCAAATACATGCAACTGCCAAAAAAAAAACTTTCAGTTTCACTTTCTTGAAGTGTCAAATATCATTCATTTTTTAATTACTACTAGAAACCAAAAGCAAACATAGAATGTTTCATAAGCTATGTCAAAAAATTAATTTGATCTCTTCCTTGTGCAGGCGCTGTTCAGCAATGTGATCGTGACTGGAGGCAACAGTTTATTACGAGGGTTCACAGACAGGTTACATAGAGATCTACAAAGCAAAATACCTGCAGTAAGTCAGACCTACAGTGATTGTTGATGATGGTGATGGTAGTAGTAGTTGTAGTAGCAATAACGATAATAACAATATTATTAATGATATTAAAAATAATAGCAATAATGATTAAGATGTTGATGGAAAAAAATGGAAGATTAAGAAGGAGGAGGAGAAGAAGAAGGAGAAGGAGAGGAAGAGGAGGAGGAAGGTGAAGAAGAAGGACGAAAAGAAGAAGAAGAAGCTTTGAGTCTCATTTTCCTCATATCTTTTGTGTTATGTTTGGTGAGATATATATAACTAACTTAAGCAATAGTCTCAAGGAATTTTAATCAAAACACCCTTTCCCATTGGTCAATTATCATTTCTGTAATGTCTTCTGATTGGTCAATTCCTCCACTTTTACACCCGGCCCCCAACTCTGTGAACGTGAGGGATACCATGCGTGTTACCAAAATGTTTGGTAAGGGGGTACTTTTCACGCACCAAAGTCCGGCTCGTTGTACACAAAAATCTGGCCCATATTGACTTTGCCTGGTAGGGAGGTGTTTTCAAAAGGAGGGAACATGCGTACCCTAAATAACACTTAGTGGGGGGGGGGGGGGGGGGCTTTTACATTATCATTTCTCTATCCTGTCTTCTGATTAGTCAATTCTTCCACTTTAACATTATCATTTTTGTATCATGTCTTCCGATTGTCAATTCTTCCACTTTTACATCATTAATTCTCTATCCTGTCTTTTGATTGGTCAGAATATGAAGCTGAAGTTGATCTACTCCAGCACCAGTTCATCAGAAAAGAGATTCAGTTCAACAGAGAGAAGATTCAGCGCATGGATAGGAGGCTCTATACTAGCATCACTGGTAAGCTCCAACACTTATTTCAATAGATGGGACCACATGTTGCCAATTCAATGATTTTACTTTTTGTGCTGTTTTAAAAGTTGAAGCTTAGGGTCAGGTTCTTCTATACTAGCATCACCGGTAAGCTCCAACAGTTATTTCAATAGATGGGACTACATGTTGCCAATTTGATAATTTTAATGCTTATCCCATTTCAAAAGATCAAGCTTCTAGACATAAAGGACTTCATGTTGCCAATTTAACGTCTACCATTTTTACCTGTTAGCTTTACCATATATGGATAGGACATGTCTTGCCTGTTTAAACATGTTAATGGTGATGATGATGATTATGATGATGATGATGATGATGATGATTATTATCATTTCTGGAGGAGAAGATGGTAAATTAGGATGATACTTGATATTAAACCCCGCCCCCCCCCCCCCCACTCAGTGTTATTTAGGGTACGCATATGCGTGTTCCAACCGACCCCCCCCCCCCCCCCCCCCCCCCCTTTTCAGCAAAAGTCTGGTGTGTAAAGTCAATACGGCTCAACCTTTTTCTTTTGTATACGAGCCTTTTTCAGCACCCCCCCCCCCCCCCCCCCTTTCAGCAAAAGTCCGGTGTGTAAAGTCAATACGGGTCGACCTTTTTCCTTTGTTACGAAAAGGACATTTTGGCAACACGCATGCGGTCATTTCGAAACCTGAGTGGGGGGGGGGGGGGGCCGGGTATAAAACATAGAAGAAAGCTCACAAATTATATTTCATTGTGCCACAACTCAGCCTTCTCTTTAAATGAGTAAACCATATTTTATTTATTCATTTCATATTTTGTTTCCATTCTACCATACAGGGTACATTCCAACAGATGTGGATTTCAAAGCAGGAATACGAGGAACAAGGAAAGACAGTAGTTGACAAGAAATGCCCATGAAGCAGATGAAACTCCTTGTTTGAAAACTCCAAGAGGATGCACCTAAAATATTGAAGCTTGGTTACAATTGGCAGATTCTGTGAACTACATCATTGATATGTACAATCAGTAGGGTAGAACTTTTGTCTTAGCGTCCTGTACATTCTACATGGAATCGCTCAGTTACTTGGTCAGATCACTGCATTCTAAGTTTAGCAGTTAGTTATGTATCAGATGACAGTGCTAATCATTGTGCTTGTAACAAGTTGCGCATCTCCGAAATATATGCTTGATACACAGTAGACCCACATGCTTGTTTTGTTTGCTGGGTTTGTTCAATCGCATCAATTTGTGCTGTAATCACTGATAGCAAGTTTCTTTCATGGAAATAAGATGAAACAGAGAAGAAAAAACCAGATTTATAAAACAGGGCCTTGATGTACAATTTCTGATGGTCTCGTTTTGTTTACAAATTCTCTTTGATATTTCAGGTTCATCCTTCGGAACAACTTTGTGAATTATGTATGTCGTGTAGATATGTAAATACATTTTTGTACTGTAGTAGAAAAAATAAAATAAAAATCATCCTTGACTAAATTATTCAGTTTGTATACACAAGCATAGCGAGTGATTGGAGGGTCTGAATTATCTGGTCTGTAGACTATCACTACATAGGCCCTGTGTTGTAGTTATGACAGCTAGAGTTAGGCTTGGGTAATGTCACTATAATTTATTTCTCTATTGGCAAAGTAGGCTCTGATATCGTAAGCTCAAACTCATTTTCTCTTTTTTTTTCTAATAAGAATAAGTGATGATTGACTTTTTTCTAAAGCCTGACTGACTGCGTTAAGAAAATAAGTACACGTTCATCATATATGTTCTAATTTAAAATAAACAGCCAGTTGACACATGGCATTAAGGTATAATCAGAGAGATATGGTTGTTAAGAATAATTCCTTGTCAAATGGAAATAGCTCATTGGCTTGGTTTTGAACTGAGGACCTCCTTTTATGAGTCCAATGAACTACCAACTGGCCCATGACAGCCTTTGTGTTAAAATACTTCCCTGAAAACTCTTTTCTGTATACAACTCGGTTGTATTAATGTAAAACTACGTTTCAAGTTTTGTAATATGTTTCTTTATGTTTTTCCTTTCTGTTTATTCTGATTGTATCAAAATAAAAGTCATACATTGTAATTATGTATAATATCCTTGTTGAGGGGTTTTGTTTTATTAGTGTGAGGATGATGATAATGGTCATGATGATGATGGTGATCATGATCTTGATGATCATGATAATGAGGACAATGGTGACGATTTATGATGATAGTTGTTGATGATGATGATAGTTGATGATGATTATGATGATGATGATGAGGAGAATGATGATAATGATGATGATGATAGTTGTTGATGTAGAGGATGATAATGAGGAGAATGGTGGTGATGATGATCTTGATGATTAGGATGATAGTTGTTGATGATGATGATGATCATGATAGTTGTTGATGGAGATAATGATGGTGATGGTGATAACGAGGAGAATGGCAATGATTGATGATGATGATGAAGAAGATGATGATGATGGTGATGATAGTTGTTGATGATGAGGAGGAGGAGGAGGATCATGGTGGTGATAGTTGTTGAATTAAACATAATTATGCCACAAGAGGGTAGCAAACACAGTGCATCATGATGATGACAATTTGCTTAGTTATATTTAAACAATTAATGTATTATTGATGTTCCATTGTTTTGCTAAATTGTAAGCAAAATTATGTTATTGTTTGAATATTGAATAAACACCTCTAAGAGGCATAGAGGAAAAAAAATGATGATGACAAGTGCTGATTATAATTATGATGAGGAGGAGGAGGAGGATGATGTTGATGATGATGAATAAGATGGTGATGATGATGATGATTATGATATTTTTTAATATGTTGATGATACTGATGAAGATGATGATGTGGATGATAATGATATAAAATGGGGTGACAACTTCGAGATATGCTCCCAGACTTTGTGGGAGCTAGGAGGACGGCAAGGGACCTATAGGACAGATTGCTAGGGAGAAATGGTATGCTAGTTGTTTTTTCCAGGGGGTGTCTTTGCGAAAACGGGTCATCCTGAAAAAGTAATTTTGACAAACAAAATTTAGAAGCTAAAATGAAACAACAACAACGAAACACAAAAATCAATTACTGCCCGATCGAAGAACACGATAAGGTAGATAATGGAATATGATATGACCGTGGGCCGAATATTGGTGATTTCGAATTTTACATTTTAGTTTGGTTGGGCGAAAGCCATCTCCACGGAGAGCGTTAATTACAACATTTCTGACATGCCAAACATGGCAGGGGTTCAATGGCCGCTCGGTCATATAATAAATCAATTGCATGAGCAGATTTCTTCCTTCAACAATCAACTGGGGGCTCCAAATACTTCAAAACAAAGTTGAATCTCGGTCCAGTATAATTTTCTTTTAATTCGTAACCCTTTTATTTAGATTGTTCGAATGTTAAACTAAACAAAGGACTTGTTATTTTGATGTTTAAATTGTTAATTTTTACATGTCAGACCGCCTGTTTCCCTCTTGTTGTGTACTTAATTATGTTCTGTACCTACCTATATATTTTAATAATTTATTCCTGGAGACCTGCCTTTGACAGCCAGGCGCGGATCCAGGATTTCTGAGGGGTAGGGGCCCAAATTTGAAATCAATTTGAAATTTAGTGTGCTGAAATGTGAAAATCGTGCCGGCCAATATTTCGCTCAGTGGAGGGGGGGGGGGGGGGGGGGGGGGGGGGGGGGGGGGGGGGGGGTACTGAGCACTAATTTTTTGTTTGGGCCCTCGAAAATCTGAAAAATCGCATCCCCTGTCTTTAAATGGTTTTTTCCCAGGGGGGGGGCTCAGGAGCTCAGGGGTTTTATACATTAAATTATCGTCAGATGAGCATATTTTATACCTTATTTGTCACTGGCAGGTCACGAATTAGTCCAGCCTCTGTACCGTTTTGTGTAGCGCACCCAATCAGCTGATAAAATAACATACCCTCAACGTTGAAACAGACCTAGCCATTCCTCTCAATCTGGGGCCCGATAACGACGGAAATTTGGGGATTGCGCGATCAGTGGAGAGACCGCGCTGTGTGTAGGGGATAAAAAGAAATAACGGACTGAATCTGGACTAGTCACGAATTAGCGTGAGAAGCTCAGGGGTTTCGGGCAATAAATAACGGTCAGATGAGCATATTTTTATACCTTATTTGTGACACTGGCAGGACACAAATTGGTGTTGGGTCCATAGGGCGGAGCCCCAATAAGCTAAGGGGTTTTATATGTTAAATTATCGTCAGATGAGCATATTTTATACCTTATTTGTGACACTGGCAGGACACAAATTGGTGTTCGGTCCAGGGGGCGAAGCTCAGAGGCACGAAGTGACGGTAGTGAGGAAAATCCGCACGCAAATTGTATGCGATTTTCATTCACTACCGTCACTTCGTGAATATAGGGACGGTTTATACATCAATTTATCGTCAGATGAGCATAATTTTATACCTTATTTGTGACACTGGCAGGTCACGAATTGGTGTGGGGTCCAGTGGGCGGAGCCCCCGGAAGCTCAGGGGTTTTGGGCAATAAATAACGGTCAGATGAGCATATTTTTATACCTTATTTATGACACTGGCAGGACACAAATTGGTGTTGGGTCCATAGGGCGGAGCCCCAATAAGCTAAGGGGTTTTATATGTTAAGTTATCGTCAGATGAGCATATTTTATACCTTATTTGTGACACTGGCAGGACACAAATTGGTGTTCGGTCCAGGGGGCGAAGCTCAGAGGCACGAAGTGACGGTAGTGAGGAAAATCCGCACGCAAATTGTATGCGATTTTCATTCACTACCGTCACTTCGTGAATATAGGGACGGTTTATACATCAATTTATCGTCAGATGAGCATAATTTTATACCTTATTTGTGACACTGGCAGGTCATGAATTGGTGTGGGGTCCAGTGGGCGGAGCCCCCGAAAGCTCAGGGGTTTTGGGCAATAAATAACGGTCAGATGAGCATATTTTTATACCATAATTTTGTGACACTGGCAGGACAGAAATTGGTGTTGGGTCCAGGGGGCGGAGCAAACAATCAGTCTACGGCAGGAAAAATAACCCAGAATGAATTTTAGCCATGCTCTCTTGACATACGATATCTATACCAGAGCTTAAGATTGGCTGAAACATAGAGAGCTTCCTTCCTACAACATGTAATAATGACATAATTATTGTATGACTATAGTAATTTAAAAGAATATTTAGATAGTTCCTCTTTACATGTGAACATTGTCGATCAGACCATGTCGTTCATTTCAATGATCTATTTTAAGTAAATACCTAAATTTAGACATGCTTACACTTTAAATAGTTTTCCATTGTAATTTTCCTCTAAAGAATCTTTCGACAAACATGTTTTTGAGCTTCTAAGCACCCATCCACGCTCTACTTGTTTCAATCAGTGATCATAATTGTTTTTTTTAATGTAAAACCTGCCGGCGTGAACATCAAAATGATTTCCATCGAGGTACGTTTCCGTTCCTTTCAAATGTGTTTTTCTTTGTTCTGTTACCCTTGTCACAAGCCCAGCCGTATGAAATTTCTTATTCACCTACAGTTCTGTGGCATATACAAATAATGTGCCAGTCCGCATATCGTGGTATTGGTTTCCAGTCAAAGTCATTCGTTTTTTTCTTCTCCCCCCCCCCCCCCCCCTCTCTCTCTCTCTCTCTCTCTCTCTCTCTCTCTCTCTTTGTGTTAAAAAAAAAGCCCCCAGAAGCTCAGGGGTTTTATGCATAAAATTATCGTCAGATGAGCTATTTTATACCTTCTTTGTCACACTGGCAGGTCACGAATTGGTGTGGGGTCCTGGGGGCGGAGCCCCCGGAAGCTCAGGGGTTTTGGGCAATAAATAACGGTCAGATGGGCATATTTTTATACCTTATTTGTGACAATGGCAGGACAGAAATTGGTGTTGGGTCCAGGGGGCGCAGCCCTTAGAAGCTCAGAGGTTTATTCATCAATTTATCGTCAGATGAGCATAATTTTATACCTTATTTGTGACACTATCAGTTAACTAATTGGCGTGAGGTCCAGGGGGCCGACACCCCAGAAGCTCAGGGGTTTTAAGCATTAAATTATCGTCAGATTAGCATCCAGCCGTCCGCCTTAGGGCCCTAGGGGGGGGGGGTCCAGGGGGCAGAGCCACCGGAAGTCAAGGGGTTTTATTCATTTAAATACGGTCAGATGAACATATTTTGATACCTTTGATATCTTTCCTCTTTTATTTCTTTTTTTTTTTGTCCTTCTTTTTTTTTCTTTTTTCCCTTCTTTTTTTCCTTTTTTTTTCTTCTTTCCCTCCCCCCCTGGATCCGCCACTGTTGACAGGTCAATGACCTCTGTTGGCTCCACCACAGTCTCGAGTATTAGTTCTAGGTGCTTAAAATTCTTTTAATATTGTTATGGTATTTTCTTGTTTTGTTTTGCTGTGTTAATCAGATATTGTATGTAAATTGCCATATGTTTTTATGAGAAGTGGAAATAAATTAAATGAAAAAATGAAGGAGAAAAAAAAAGATTAAGTGGTGATTATTTTACCTGAATGCTAAGAAAACATGGTTGTTAAAGCAACCAGACGACCGACGGCTTAATAAAGTCCTCTCCGGTGGACCTGGTAATCCTTACCAAAGTGCACTAGCGCATCGCCTTGGTTTCGAACCCGGGTCGCCGGATTACGAGACCACTGCTTTACCAACTGATCGCGCCTCCTCCATGATTTGTTTTGTTCACTAATGTATTAAACTCCAAAATTGAATTTAAACAAACGAATAGAAATATCAACGAATCATTTTTCCTTCCCAAACCCCTCACTAACTTTTTGAAGAAAATAAAAGCACTACATACACTGCCAGTCACTTATTCAATATAGAGGGGATTAGAAATTAAAGTTACCATCTTTTGTACATGTTTTTTGCCAGGGGGAGGGGTGGCCAGGACCGACAGCCCCCCCCCCCCCCTGCTTGAAGAGGTGGATGAAATGCGAAAACAAATCAAGACTATTTAGTAGGGGATGGTGTGGGAAGGGTCGCATCATATTTTAACATGTGCACTTTCTCCCC